TCTTACATTCTCATTTTTCTTACTCCGTCAGGACGTATCACCGGCGCAGCTTTCTCCTCTAGCTCAACTTTCTTTCCTCTCCTTGTGATACCTACCTATCGTCGCTTTTAACCATGTGCTCTCTACATGTGGTGCATTCTCACATATACGCATGCAAGAAAAGACTGGAGATGCGCCCACCTTCCAATGATATCGAAATGGAAACGGACTAGCTTCCTTCGTTTATTTGTATTTAGATTTCGTAGGGTGGCTGATCCATTAAAAGAAAAAAAAAAGGAAAACAAAAAACAAAAAAAAAAAACTATTTATAGAATTGAAGAGAACATGTAATTGCATGAATTTTCAATTGGCTGCCTGTACCTTGATATGGATGGTTGTAAAAAGGTTTTGAGCATGCAAGAGTTCTTTCAAGATTGTATTGATTTCGAGAAACTTCTTGTAAAGGATAATGCAATAAAATTTAATAAATCAACATACTTCCGAGCCGAGAGAAATTATACATACGATTGATTTTAATATCTGCTTAGATACTTGCGAAGTACAAAATCAAATCGACAATTTTATTCCCATGGATTGAGAGAATATGGTATAAGAATGTGTAAAATAAAATCAAATAAAATAATTTCTAATATGTTATATGTTATAATAGTTATTATTTACGAATTAATGTACATAACCGTAAATTATTTTTTTATCCATCCTAATATCGATTTTATTAAATTTTTTTTATAAAATGATTTTTTCCACCTATACTATACTCGTGCATTTATTATTATAAAAAAAACTATAGTGTTCAAAAGATTTTATTTTTAATGCTTCTAAATCAACCGTAATATATTGTGGCCATCATATTTACAATATTGGCTATTTCAAAATAACTAAAATTTGTTTCATTCTGTATTTGGTGATACTAAGCTATCCTCGAAAAATTTTCAAATTCAAGTTTTCATTGAAAATTCAAGAGGGAAATTACAGGCCGAAAATGTCATGTGTGCGTCACATACGCTACTCGGATGCTGTTGTAGTTATAGATGCCACGACTCGACTTCCGGCACACGTGCCTCCCCGGAAGTGCACTACGTACAATCTGTCGTCACTCTCCCGCAGCCACTGCATCGCATACCTCTTCCCATCCTATTACTTTCACTCACAACCCGCATCTCTTTCTTCAACTTACACCCACGGACTTTTCTCCTCTTTTAAAAGCAGTGCACATAAGACTCGCATATCCTGATTCCGTTGCTATTTTTGCTCCTCTCTCTCTCTCTCTCTCACACACACACACACACACACACACACTCCTCCTCCTCCTCCCTCTCTGTTTCATTATGTTGCGCGCGCACGAGTGTCAAAGAGGGAGAGAGAAAGAATTGAAAAATGTAAGAGGGATACGGAAGGTTACCGATGTATGAGCGCGAGAGTGATAGAACCGGGAAGTCTCTACTTGAAAGAAGAGGGTGGATAAGCTATCGCGCTTTAGGTGTGAAAAGACCCTCTATATGAATTTTAACATTTGAAAATGAATAATTTTGGTAATGTATAATGTTAAACAACAGGACTACAGACCAAATTTTATCCGATTATGATTTAAGAAATTGAATCATGAAAATTATATTAAAAAATTCTCGATAAAAAAAACTCCCTTCACGAAATACCAAATCTTGGGAAATAATTGACGGACATTTTCGACAGTTTACGAAATAACTGTGAAATTTGAACTGAAACTTCAAAATACTCGACATACCGAGTTATTTTAACAAACTGTTCGTTTTCTCTTTCTAAGGCAAGATAAGTCGCGAAGATGTCAATTTAATTTGAAATTCAATAATCTATTTCTCTAAATTCAACTGTACTTTTCACTCAATGAAATCTTTACGAGTAAATGAATTTTTTATGTTACATATATGTCAAACATTCAATTTCATCAAATTTGGCTTTTTAAAATTTATTTTGCCACAATATTTACAAATATACTTGAATATATATATATATATTTTATATTTTTACGACTATTTATTAATTAAATCTTAATTTAAATCTTAATTTATACTAAGTATTAAAACATTCGCGATTATCTTTGCTCGTTAAACGAACAAAGGATTCTATATTGTTTTGCTTAGTGAAACTTTATAAATTCAGTACATACAGTTTTTTTTTTATATAATTATATCTACATATTTATGTGATAAAAATATTCTCGATTATTTAAATCAATACGATTATAAAAAGTACTAAAAAAATGCCGATTCATATAAGATAATTTCAAGTAATACACTGAATTATGTTTATAAGATGAGACAAATAAATTCATTTGCAACGTAAGGAATTGTTCAATTAATACAAAATTATATATACAAAATTATTGCATTTTGATTTTTATAAAATACTAATTTTTATTATGTATTTGAAATGTAGTGTAGCACAAAGTATCATCTTGTCTGCAAAAATTTCAATTTTTATAAATCATAAGAGAAATAGTTTGTTAAATTTTATTTTCATTAATATTTTTGATTATATCAAGAAAAAGCAACAAAACGCAATTATAAGATTAAGATTAGAATTTAGTTTCTGATTGCAAAAAATTGACCGAATAATGTAATTGACTAAATACGTTTTCACATTATCAAAATCATTTTGAATTAATGAAGTATATACAAATAAATAATAATAATATTTTTAAAACCATCATCATCATTACGGTATAAAGTAACCGTAATAATATATATATATATATATATATATATATATATATATATATATATATATATATTGTAATAAAATAAAACAATTTAAAATAATACGTATACGAACACAGCGCGCACAATATAAAAAATTCTCTAAATAATTATATTTATTATCATTAAAATCGTCAATATAAAAGCTGGTATTATCAAGCAAATTAAACAATTACTACAATACTCTTCATTTGTTTGCTTCGGATAAAGGTAATTTAATTTACATGCAAATATGATGTTCAGCGATAGAAAAATAAGATTAAATTAATTTTTTTTCGAGCAATTATTCGAAATAAGCAACACAGCCAATAATAGAATGTATAGACGTTGAAAACATATTCACGTATACTGAACACAAGGCTAAAAGATTAAATATCGGCGAAGGGAGGGGGGATGAAACTGGTGTGACAGAGTGTGGGAGGCAAAAAGTGGGGGGAGAGAGAGATAGAGAGAGATAGAGAGAGAGAGAGTGAGAGAGAGAGAGAGAGAGAGAGAGAGTGAGTGAGTGAGTGATAAATTAGTGGTGCAAATAGAACATAGGGGAGAGGGAATTTATTTAGAAGGGAAACAAATCAAGTATATAATATTCGATTCGCGGAAAACGATATATTCGTGTGGTGAAAGAGACAGATGTGGAGAAAAATGGCGAGGCAAAATTGGTAATGACGACGGCAGCGAAGTCGTGGAAAATTACTTACGGGAGAATGATGATGAGAGGAGCGTAGCGGAGGGGAACGGTGCGGAGAGGCGAGTAGAGGAGAGGAGAAAGATAGAGATAGAGATAGAGATAGAGTGAGATAGATAGAGAGAGAGTGGTTGAGGGAGGGAGAAAGAGAGGAGGGGGAGAACGAGGGAGGGAGATAGATAGATAGAGATAGATAGAGAGAGTGATTCTTTCTTATAGAGACTCAAGGTGAAGTTCTACGCGTTTTCAAAGCGATAAGGGGACAGCGCGACGTCGCCACTGTCGGTGTGCGATTAAAAGACAAGATATTTTGGTGAGCGCGTCGACATATTACTCCATTCTCCCAAAAGGCCTATCAATGTAGTTTTACAGTTTAATACATATATTGTTTATTGCTCGTAAATTCGAAATTCAGAACGTATAGTATGACGTGCAGAGCTACCTCTTTACACATCTAATCTGATCTTTACGTACGACAGCATTTGGTCATATATTTGGCAGAACGGTTATATTGTTCTTACGTCGAGTGACTTGAGCAGAGAATATACTATTAATAAATTCAGTATGCATACTTGTCAATGAATAAAAAAATTTTCATTGTAATATATTAAAAAATTCCTTTGTTGGTAAGAATGATGGAATTTTCATTAAATTTAGGATAAAATTTATTATACAATTAAGTGACAATGAGTGGGTAATAATTCCATACGTTAATAATTTACAATGTGAGCCAAATACAATTCGCACGGGAAGAATCGATTTTTTGAAAAAACTAAGTTAAAAAGCTGCATTGTTTATTAATGTGTGCGGCGAATGTCCGCGAGTGTTAATAGTGAGATATGAAAAAAGCAAAGCAGCCGTTTTCATGTTCAATAATATTGTTATTCACTGAACGGCCATTTTACTACATGCTCTCAAATTGTTTATATATTTTTTATTTGGATTTATTGCGACATTGAGACGTTTTCGTTCTTATACGGTGCGATCAGGATTCGGACGATACAGTAACATTTCCAATCCATCTGCTCCGTATTTGCTCGCTGTATATATATATATATATATATATATATATATATATTTTTTTTTTTTAATTTTTGTTATCTACGCGAGCTTCCTCCAGTCTCTCGTTTTATGTATGCATAAGAGGTGCGAAAAAGCAAGTGCATAAATAAAAATGACATAAATTAACTACTTATTTACTATTTCTTTATTTTTACGTGTTAATGAATTATTGCGTGACGTGAGCTCGATGATACTTTCAATATTATGATCAGATGATTTGAATTTATAATTAAATGTTAATTACCTTCACAGCAACAATATCATAATTTTTATAATATATATAATGCACAAGACAAGCATGTAATATACGTATACTGCCTTAAATGGAATTTTTTGCAAAATCATAATTATAAATGCTAATCTTGTCTTCGAATTGACATATTTATATACATAAATTTGTTAACGATAATGATAAATGACTTATTAATACTTACCAACGAAATTTAAAATGCAATACTAATACAATAAAACGCTATGTATAAATAAATTATTATAATATTAAATAAAAATTAATTTACTTTTATCACAGCTTAATTTGATGATTGCTTCAAGAATATCACTGATATCTTCAGGAAACATTAATTTATCGTAACATTCAAACATGCTTGCCAGCATTTTCCCAAGCATCAAACTGTAATGAAAAGAGAAACAAATATGAATATTTATTTTTAAATTTTACATTTTAAATTTTAAATTTTAGCTTTACTTATTGTTTGTGACTATAAAACATATATAGAAAAAGGAAGAAGAACAAGAAAAAAACGAAAAGAAAAACAAATAGTTTATCGAAATGAATTAATATGGTTTGCATTAAGGCGGCACATATTCTGAAAATGAAATCCAATACAAATTTTTTTTTGTTTTTTTTTTGTTTTTTTTTTTTTAAATATATTAGCAGCTATTAAAGATGTAACACGATACCCCGAGATTATGCAAGGTATTTATGGAAATGAGTGATTTCATATAAGTTTTCGTCACATTTCAATGACCTATAATTAAATGAACACTTTTGAACAAATCGCTTAATAAATGATGCTTTCGTAAACTGCTTATAAAGGATTGTAACTGTTTCTGAATAATTAGATATTGCAGCAGGAGAGAACAGCATTTTATCAATGATCGATCGTTTTTGAAAAATCTTTGATACGCGATGAACTATTAAAACCGTTAACTATAACCGTCACGAGCGATGGCTACATAATAAAGTGTGTGATGCCGCCATTCTATATTTGTTAACACTAATTGCCCACCGACCAAACCACGTGCACGTGCATCATGAATATCGCTGGTTGCGCTTGGTTAAATCTAAAATCGTACGGAGACCTTTCGGACGAGATAGAGGAGCGAATAGCGAATTAAAGATATCTGAAAGATGAAAAACAAATGCGAAACTTGGGATTCGGAGTATAACATATATTGTCGTCAAGGCGACCCCTCTTGTAAACCTTAGCGGTGCACGTAGCCGCTGCTCGCGCGAAAGTGCGAGCATCCACATGCACGGGCCACTCACACACCTGGTCGTCGGCCGCTGCTATACGACGCAATTTTGCATTCCAGGTCGGTACTACTTCCCCTACCGCCGCGACTGCCAGCCGCCGCCGCCGCCGCCGCCGCCGCCGCCGCTGCTGTCGTCTCTACGCCGAGTTGCCCCCCCCCGCCAAGCCACCAACTCACTCCGCACCGCTCCTCACCGCTCCGCACCGCTCCTCACTGGCCGACGGGACGCGCGCGCCGACGCTCGACTTGGAGTGGGGACACCGACCGCCAATGAAAATACGCAGTGTTACCCCCACTCCGTGCGAGGCTGCTAAAATTGGCGGCGTGCGCCACGCCCACCACACCCGCGCAAACATGGCCGCGTCGTACGGACGCTCGCGTTTCCAAACGAGTCTGACGAAGAAAGAGAGATGGTTCTCTCCATATTGATGGTATTGGTAGTGGTGGTGGTAGTGGTGGTGGTGGTGGTGGTGGTGGTAGTGGTAGTGGTAATGGTAGTAGTAGTGGTAGTGACGGTAGCAGCGATGGTGGTGGTGGGGGTGGTGGTGGTGGTAGTGGTAGTGGTAATGGTAGTAGTAGTGGTAGTGACGGTAGCAGCGATGGTGGTGGTGGTGGTGGTGGTGGTGGTGGTGGTGGCGGTAGTGGTGCTGATGGTGGCGTTGACGGTGGTAGTGGCGATGGTGGCTGGGGCTGCGGGTTTTCGAGGGTCGCCATTTGCGCGAACCAGCCGAAGAAGAAAGTTCGTCCGAATATGGGCCGAGCCGCGCCCGCAGGATTATACTTCGTAGCAGGACTTCGGTGGAGTTTTTACCCTACCACTCCTCTTCTATTTTTGTTCCACATGATTTTAACTCGCATTTATCACGCATATCTTTCATGTTTCTTTAACTTATAAAGGACAATTTTACTCCTATACTATGTCTATATCGGTTAACTCTTTTCTACAATTTACGCATTCTAAAATAGCATATTCATTTATCACGGTACTATTAAGTATAAGCAATTTTGTATGATCAATATCAATTGACATTAGTTAGCAGATTAAATATTTAACGCTTTCATACACAAAATTTCGCCCCTAATAATGAATTAAGTCAACTAATATTCAAACTAAATGTTGTAAATATGAGAATTTTTTGAAACGTGGGGAATTATTGAAAGTAAATTATATCGGTAAATATTACCGGACAAGTGGCACTTGGAAATTTCTTTATAGAAATTTACAACAATAAAGTCTATGTATATCGTTTATGTTACACGAAATCGCGAGACCGATCGATCGCGGCAATTGTACGTGCACTTAGCCATCCTTACAAATTTCTGCACGCCCATAAGTGCACATAAATTTATTAAAAAAAGTTTTCTATTTTCTCAGATGGTAAAACAATAATAACAATATCGTCGCCCATACGATATTACGTAATATAAAAAATGGATTATATCTAATATAAAACATTATAATTGTCGAGGATGTATTAAACTTCATGAATATAAAATCATGAACGTTATTGCTGAAATGCTCAAATGCATGTTAATATAAATAAAATTTCGTAAAAAGTTATAAATAAAAAGAATTGTCGTTGGTAATTTATGCACAAACAATATGGATGAAAGCGACGATCGGTTAATACTTGCCCTGTGAAACAATTGCCCATTGGATATACATTACACAAGACGTTGGATTTAATGCGTCATTTTTAGGAGACATGCCCCACCACTGATTAATTAATACATTTGGCGAGCGCACGGCATTTTGATAAATAAGCAACTAATGCAATTAGCGGGACGAGTGGATTAAATAAATAAGCGCAGCCAAAGCCATAAAATCCGTAGAACGAGGCAGAGACGAATGGGCAAATTGCGGGGCGAAGTGGTAAACGGAGTGGGAGGGAGATAGGGCACTGGGGCGCCGAGAGTCAATTTCGCGTTTCCAAAGTTTAATGGGCTTTCGCAATTTTCTCTATACACGACGTCCGCGCCAAGCGTCATCCACCTCAACTTTCCTCTCTCGCGCGCTCTCCAACCAATGTGCAATAATTTCCTTTCAACTACGCAATTGTATTGGGACGTACGAAGTGTACGTATTGGCGCGCGAGACAGAGATGGAGCGATGGGACGGAGAGGGCTAGTGGGCTAGTGGGCTGGAGGTCTAGAGGGCTAGACGGCTAGAGGAGAGTGAGAGAGAGAGAGAGAGAGAGAGAGAGAGAGAGTGAGCGAGTGAGCGAGCGAGTGAGCGAGTGAGAGGGTGAGTGGGAGGAAGAGAGGGAATGGTCCGATGACTGTGACGTTGAGGCTGACATTGATGTCGGACGGGATTTTCGAGTCGCGCGGCGGAAAATTGGCCGAAGCGAGAGAGCCGAGGCTTTCCAACACCGGTAATCGGAATAGTCCAAGCTCGGCGAAGAATCCTTTCCGATAATTTCGAAAGCTTACGGCGAGCATTTGCCGAGCAGTTCAAGCCCGGATTATTAAGTACTTTCAATTTATAATCGGCAAGGCGGAGGAGCCAAGGAGCCATTGCTCCCAGCTAGCCTTGGACGGTTAGCGCTTCTAAAGTCCGCTTAAATATCCCGATGAGCTAGCTATGCAATCGCCTTTGTACAAAAAACGAACAAATATACGTTCTTGAGAGAGACGGAGAGATAGAGACACAGAGAGAGAGAGAGAGAGAGAGATAGAGAGAGAGAGGGAGGGGTCGAAGGGAGCGACGAGAACGATTATTAACAGCGATGCGCGACAATGGCGCGTGTCATCGGGATGACGACGACACGCGCGATGATGTGCTTTTTCCCGCTATTTTGATTCCATTCATTAAGCGTCAGCCGCATAATCGTTGGTTGCAATTAATTAAGAGCGCGACGTGGCAGACTGCGCCAAGTAGGAAATAATTGTTGCAAAATAATGTTCACGCAGCATGTGTGGACAACGATTTTGGGAACGAGTGCGTCATTGCGCTCCGCTACAATTGCAGTCGGGAAGACGTTTATGTATTCTGGCACGTAAACATTTTATTCCAGCGGAATAAATCGAACGTTTCGTGGGCCGTTGTATAAGCCGATATGCGTCGATTCAAATCAAAGCGACAAAATACTTGTGGGACAGGTAAGCGGGGCCTTGCTGAACCATATGCGCTTGGTTACAGGTGAAAATTAAATCAAATGTCGTATAAAATGGGCAAGGCATAGGATTTAATTGATGTAATTATAACGCGTCGTAGATAATCCATCTACGATTGAATTACGTTTATAATTGTCAGCTGTGTGGATATAATAAGATTTTCAGTAATGTATGAAGAGGGGAGTGTAAATTTTCTTCGCCCCCTTACCCCCTTACCAAACGATACTCAATACACACCCATGCAGACTTAATATAGTAAATGTAAAAATCCTTCCAAGCGCTCGGCGGCCACGTAAATTCCGCATCGTAACCAAAGGGAATAATGATGGTAAGGGAATGGGAGGGGTGATGAAAGAAAAAAAGAAACGTAAAGTAAGTAAATAATCTAAAAACTGCTGGGATAAAGTAGGCAGCGCACGAGTGTTGGCGAACAGTTTTGTTTCTTAACTTTCCCCACTGCTAAATTAATAAACAAGCGAGTGTTAATTATAACGCAGCGCTTTCCATTTAGCGCTGTATGTGCGCGCTGAAAATGCCGGAACAATGCATGTATGCGTGCCATCCCTCCTTAACGTAGAAATCGTATTAATGTTCGTTAAGCGCACTCGTCTTGAGTGTAATTCCCTATGATCGGCACAATTTCTCCGACGACTAGTCAATGTGCTTTCTGTGCCCGGGCTATGGAGGGTTTCAACATGAGCTGTCCTCGAGGCGCGAGCGCGTGAGATAGAGATTGTAACGCCGAGACATGAGCAGGGGATACATGATGGAGGGATGGTTGGGGGGAGAGGACTTGCTCGGCATCGCGAGTCGTGTGAAGATGAGAGCGAAGAAGGTCCCGTACGCGGTACGCACGCACGCACGCACGCACTCTCGCGCCACAATGGGGACGCATGGGAATTTGTCGCTGGCTTACCTCTCGCCGGTTCGCCACGAATAAGGGAAGGAAATATATATATATATATATATATATATATATATATATATATAGAGAGAGAGAGAGAGAGAGCGACAAGG